CGAGGGGAGTCTCTGCGTGGGGACATGCCTGGGTGGGGGGACGTTAGGCCAGGTGAGGGGAGGCTCTGTGGTGGGTTGACCCTAGTGAGACCCTGGGAGGGGGAACGAGGCACAACCAGGCCAGGCTCTGAGCGGGAACAGATCAGGTGAGGTCCTGGAGCGAGGACAAGGCCGGGAGAGGCTCTGCGTGGGGACAGCCCAAGGGGAGACTGGGCCGAGCCTAGTGAGGCTGCAGGGGGGGAAGCTGGGCAGGGCAGGGGCGCTGGACCGGGAGCCTGGGGAGGATGGGTTGGAAGCAGAGCAGGTCAGGGGGAGCTGGGAGCAGCTGGCTGAACCGAGGAACGGGGAGACATCCTGCGGTCAGGGCTAGGCCCCGTCAGGCCCTTTAAGTGCCCCACACGAGCTGGGGGCAGCCCTGGCTGCGGCACTGGTCTCTAGGGCAGCAAGGAGGCGCGTGTGCTACAGGGCTCAGATGAAAAGGGGAGCCCTGCGCCAGCCCCGGCAGCCTGCTTGCCTCCTTCTGAGGTTGCCGCTTCTCAGATTGCCCTTCCGTGGCTGCGGGTCTGAGCTGGCCTGGCTGCTCTCGGTCTGGGGTAGGTCCTGCTGTTCAGCAGAAGCTTTAGGGAGTGCTAAGAGGAGTCTTGGTGCGCTCGATTGATTGAAATCCCTTCAAACGAGGGTGACCCGAAGCACTCCTTGAGGTCAGCTGCTCTGTTGGCTGCGTGCGCGGCACCAGCGAGCCTGGCAAAAGACTCCTGGCGCGATTGCAGCCGTAGGCACGACCACACTGGGCCAGAGCAGAGGCCCTTCTGGACCAGCTCCACATCTCCAGAACGCCTAGGGAAGCCCTGTGGTGCTCTAAGGCTTCCTGAGATGGATGTTGGCTTCTCTGCAGGCAGTAACCCTCAGTGGGTTTCTTTTCCATCAGTTTGTCCAGTTTGCCCTTGAAACCTTGTAAGCCATGTTAACCTGTCATAGCGAAGGTGACTGGAAGGGCCTTCCAGAAGTTATTTAATTCTGGGGCTGTCAGACTCTTGCTCTAGGTAACATCTCGGATTCGGTGGTGAGAGTGGAGCCCGCAGTGGCTCTTCCTTGCTCCGGCCCAGCTGTTTACCGTTTTGGAGTGGTGCATGCTGCTTTGGAAAGCCGTGCCGGAGTGCAGCCCCTAAGGTAGTCTGCAGTCAGATCAGCACCACCAGAGAAGTGTTTCGCCCCTTCTAAAGCCATTCCCATGAGGGAGACTTCACGCCTCCTGTTTCAGTGCTTTGTTGATCTTCAGAAAGCTTTTGTTACCGATTCAAATCGAATGTTGATGACTGAAAAACCCCTTTTCCGATAACTGTTAGTAGAAGTCTGCTGCCTCCCCCTTTTTTAATGTTGAAATGTTCCTTTTTCTAAAGTGCTTATTTTCCTTTTGTAGTGTTTCCAAAATGTGGCACTGACCTCCAGTCCGTTACAGCCTCAGTCCTTCTTTCCCTGTAGACGTAGCTGCACAATGGCAGCCCGACTGGTGCGGCACTGCTGTTGGCGGCACTTTGGTGCCTTCGTCTCTACTCCCTCAGCGGTCCCAGCCTCTCTGCTCGTGTCGGCTGGTAAGATGGTGATAGCCAGAGCTCTCCCTCAAGGGCCTTTCACTTCATTTCATGCTTCGAGTCCCTGCAGCTGGGCCGACGGCTTCTCCGTCAAAGAGCAGGTGGAAGACAACAGAAATCCAGAGCACAGAGTGATTAGCGAACTCATTGAAACAGCTACTAGTCCTCAAGAACTCTTCCAGTTGAGTGAACTTCATTCTCTCAATAGCAACCAAGCCTCCCTAGTAATTATGCAACTTTCCCGACTTGCAGCAGAAAAAAAACTGGAGACTGAAAGCATTTTGCAAGACGAACGCTTCCAACAGCTCGTTGTCATCACTGATTCTCAGGTAAGTTCCCTCATGTGGTAGAGGTGTTTTTGGGAAGAACGTGATTTGGGAAGCTGACTAGGTTCCTGTGTATGGAGCTAGCTTGACTGCGTAGAGCAGCAGCTTTCCCGGGAGCCCTTGCTGGGGATCTGTCAGACTAGTTGCATGTTTAGGATGTGTACTTTTCCTCTCCGAGGGAAAGCTGAGGGGAGCAGGAAGCGGAAATGACCAGCTCCGTCCCAAAACCTGAGTTATTTCTGCAAGCAATGGTTTTTATGTCATGGACAAAATATAGCAGGATAAAAATACTTTCTTTCTCTCTGCAGAAATTTATAGCGGCCAGGGACATCATACACCTCAGTGGACAGAGGCAGGAGACCATCCCTGTTAAGCTCTACTTTTCTCCTTCCCCTGTCCGTTTTCAGTTTTCTCAGTAAAATTCACCTGCTGCCCTTTCAACCGTTTGTGGCAAAGATGTGTCGTAGCCATGCAGCCCGACAGCTTAAGGGACTTGCCGAGAGCTGCCGGCGCCTGCGGTTTCTCACCTGCGCATCCTGGTGAATTTACTGTCATTCCCCTCGCCAGTGCTTAGCCCCAGGAGAAGCCTGCTTGTAAGATGGGGTGTCCAAAGGAAATCGGTGCACTTTGCGTGGTACTTTATACTCTCCTTACTTCAAACGTTGTCAGAAACTCGTCAAATGCAGTGCCATCCTCTGTGGCTGGTACTGGCTCGGCTGGCTACTGCAGAAATAGCTGTAGTTCATGGGTCCCAGGTCTCCCTGACTGAGCTCTGGGGCCACAAGCGTTCTGCAGACGCTTTGATGTTTCTCCTGATCTGTGCTATAATACCTGCTCCCTAAAACCTGTCTGCCTGAGGATAGCAGGTAGGATTTGTCCTGAGGGTGCTGAATTAGCTAAACCGAGCTGAAACATTTCCGCTGTATTTTGAATGAAAGTACTGCTTGTGCTAATCTACGTAGCTCTGTGTCACCATTGCCAAGTGACAAAGGGGTGCGCGTGTTGGTGTGATGATTCGACGGAGAAGTGATATCCCAGAGCTGGTAAAGCCGTGTTGCTGCACCGCTTCAGTGATAGAGAGGCGAGAAATGGCTAGCAGACCTGTTAGAAACACAACTGATCCTTTTCCAGAGAGCTGTTACTACAACCTACAATCCTAGGTAATTTGATGTAAGAAGTGACTGTGTAAACGCAAAGATGTTTTAATGTAAAAACAAATTAATCGGCTTGCAGCGTCTTTGTGTAGACGAGCCAGAGACTTCAAATGATCGGCACTCGGGAGGAAGAGCTCCTAATGGGCTGTGAGGTGTTAGTGAGCGGTCAGGTGTGCGGAAATATAGTCTCAGTGCACGGATGGAAAAGACGGGGGGATCAGTAAAGGGGGGCAAACGTGATTCTGGTTCTGCCAGTGACCTTCCGGGCGACGCTGGGCAACTCGTGAGCTCCGCTCGTTTTGTCCGCTGCGTTCTGGTTTGTGATTTTTCTCTCAAGGAACCTTTTGCAGAGCACCCTCGGAGAGCTCAGGTCGTCCTTGTACAAGTGGTGGTTCCCTAAGGCACCGGACCGTGCCTGAGCATCGTTTGAGGAATTTGCCTTGCTGGTAGAAACACTGAAGTTTTGACAGGCCGGAAAATTAAAGCCTTTGTTTGCCTGAACACACACGGTGCATCCTGCTCTGAGTGCCGTGAGCCGTTGCGTTGCCTTGCTTGCCTTCTGCGCTGTCAATTTGAAAAGCGATTCTTTGTTTCTTAAACCATTTTGTAGTATTGCGACGTTCTGTCAAATAGGTGCTGTGCTCTGCCTGGAGGTGGCTGTTTTAGTAATCTTTTCTGAACAGCGCTGTGAAGGGGCCCTTTGGTATTGATGTTATCCTATGGATGTAGTTTGTTATTGTACAAATTGGTAGAGCTTTTGGACTGGGAATTCTGTTTAGCTGCGTTTGGGTTCTGGTGAGAATAACCTAACCACAGAGCTGAGCTGTAAAATGCTGCCCAGCCTCTGGGAAACTTCAACAGACTGGGTCTTGCACGTGAACACGGGCTGGATGTGGAGGCACAACAGTAGTCATTTTCTGCTTGACCTTCTGTTGCTTTCTCTTTGGAGAAGCCCTCATGCATCCTTTGACTTTGGCATCGCAAAGCAGTGGCAGAACACACACAGGACGGGGAAGCCTGATCTGGAAATGAAGAGGCTGATGGCCTCGTGGCTGAGGTACAGGGCGTTGCCTGACACCAAGGAAGTGAAAGCTTGAACGCTGATCGCTCTTGGAGAACTGAGGCACCCATAGCTCCGTCTCAGATCCGGGCAGCTGGTGGAAAAGCCGCAGATGGTGGCCGGGGAGAGTGGGGCTGGGCAAGTCCTGGTGCAGTGGGATTCACGCCTAACGCTGTCTTCCTTTTAGAGTCATTGGAAAAAAAAATGAGCTCTGAGGTGGAAGTATCTGCTCCTTGTACTTCTGCATGGAGTCAGATGAGCCTCCCACTCTGCCTCTGGGAGACCTGTGCTCTCGCCCCAACAAGAACC